TCCCTTCCAACCCAAACCTTTCTTTGATCCAATGTTTCAGATTCTCTTATGGTTGAAATGCCTTTGGTTTACCTTTGGAAAAAAAAATCCATAACACTTGGAGCTGGAATCTCCAGGTGACACTGTGTCAAAAGGGGCTGGAAATGGTCTCTGCAGCTGGTAGGAATAGGATACACCCAGCATGACCTGTTCTTTTTTTCTTGTAAAGTCCTCTATTTTCATTCATGGAATTTTAGTGTACAGTTAAGAGTGCTATTAAAAAAGCCGAATGATGATGAATGACATGGACTTCCCTACAGCAGAGCAGAGAAGACAACACTAAATAAATGAAATAGGTAATTCTTGTTTCTGTTACACTGTTCTGAGCTAAAGTGCTGCGTTCCTCACTGAGCAACACCTGCTACATAGAAAGTGTCCCTAGAGAAATCAGTAGGAGCTGAATTTAGCAAGCAGTCTTTTTAAAGGTAAAAGATTGTTCCCATTACACCACTGAGACTAAAAGTAGCTTGTGCCAGTTAGAGTCTGTAAAGTCAAGGAAGCTCTTGTCATTGTCAACACAGTGCTTCTCCTGATGGATCCTACACCTTTAAACATCTTCTTCAGCTTAGGAAGCTCAAAGAATCAAGGATGTGGAGAAAGAGAAGGAGTGCATTGTTAGGCACCTCCTGCAGGAGGGGCTGAACCTGGTTCAAATAAACTGCAAACACGTTACAACCTTCTATTAAGGGAAAGAACAGGAGAGGCAATAATAGAAAAACATTTCACAAGAGGGTGTCGGATAAGAATAGACTTGCTATGTTTACATGGCACCTTCCCCAGATGTGCTTTGCTAGCTTGCTGAGAATGCAGCTGACATATTCCTGATGCTGCCATCCACATTACTTCCAAACTTGGCTGTATTTTTGGAAGGAAACTCAAGTCACAGTTGCTGGACACAGTGACTGTTGTGACAACACACTCTTATGTAACCAGTAAGAAGCAGGACTGCAGGCTGAGGAAACGTTGCCAGCTCCAAATACTGAGCACTGGAGGATTTAGCTCTCTCTGAGATCACTCATCCCTTCAGATATTCCTGGAACCAACACCCTCCCCCCAGCCCCACCTACTAAGGCACTGCCTTTGTTTCCTCAGCGCTCCGTCTCCCAAGCCATGTTTCCACACTCTTTCCACCTGAGCCTGCGTGCCCAGGCACCTGCACTAAAGCTGCGTTCAGCCTGCAACACCTACCAAATTATCCTGGCACCTCCTGTTGCAGGAGCGTGGGCACTGACAGCACTGACAGCGTCACCCACTGCCACGGCAGAGGAGTCAAACACAAGCATCCTGCGGGTCATCTTATGGGCAGAACGAAACACACCGTGTAAGTAAAGCCAGGTTCATTGTTAGTATGCTTCAAATCTTAGCTGTGATCAAGGAATGATTAATCTCTATTATTAATGAAAGAACAAAGAATACTACAAACTTTCAGCAACAAAGCTGTTAGAATGTTTATGGGCTGTTTTTCTTCTTGGGATCTCCAGTATCCTGGTGCCCCTTCTCTAATCATCTCATGTCCGTGGTCCTCTACACCACATCCCATGCCTGTTTTCAAGGCCCCTGCTTGTATCAGACTGGTATTCATCTGCTACAGGGCGCTAAAATGATATATGTTACTCTACACAGAAAACCTGCTGTTATCTACAGTACTATATACACCATGCAACTACAGGTTGAGAAACAAGGTAAAACAAGTCAGGCAATACCCATTTGGTCATGAGTAAAGTTTTTTAACAGTCAAACAAGCCAGAACAAAGCTCTGGGCAGGTGAAGAGGAGTTCAGACAAAGCAAGCCTGGCACTCCTGAGGCCCTGCGGAGCTGGAATAAAACCTGTGCTCTGACACTAGCTATGGCAATCCTGCATTCACTGAGCTGTCAGTAAAGATCAGTATTCAGGGACTACTTGGAGGGGAATCCCAAGTTTTTGAAAGAACAATCATTAAGGACAGTTACTTATCCATAGTCATATATACATTTAAGTGTCTAGTCCTGGCAAATCTGAAATGGATGAAATGGATCCAGGTTTTCTTTCTACATTTTCACCCCTTCTCACCTAATTCAGCCTAACTGGACTTTGGTTTTTCAAATATTATTGTCATCTTCAGTCTGATAAACTGTAACTTGCCCAAGGACTAGGTATTAGTATAGGATTCAAAGTGTAAATGCAAGACTTGGAACCTGCCTTTTAGGCAGCATTATACTCAGTTTTGTACTAAAATACAATTACCAGAATATGCAGAAGCTCTGGTAAAATCTGTCAGCTTTCTCATGCCTACTGCTCATTTTGCAGACAATTATATTTAAAATTTCAGTGAAGAACACCTGCAATATACAGAGGGAAAAGGAGGACGTACAACGCTGCAGGTTTCAATACACCCCCGGAAAGTTATGCTTACCTAAGTACCCCACAGGACAGTATAAGGTAAAACATATGTGCATTATATAATAAAACTCTGAAATGGAAAAACTCATTAAAATTACACATGCTTTAGCTTAAGAATTATGCACTCAGCATTTTGGTACTGCCACTCAACCATGTTGAAGTTTTTGGCCACCTTTCATTGCACAAGTGCCAACCACACCACAGTCTTCAGGCACAGTGCATCCATACACCAGTTCAATATTAAATGCATCAACTTTAATTGGCTGTGTTGTAAAGTGAAACGCTGCTGAGGAGAAATAATAGCAAAAGAAAAAATGCTGACCAATGCCACTCTGCTCACACAGTAAGGAGGAGAACCCTTACAAATATATGAGAAAACGGTGAAACATGGGAGTTCTGCAGTTGGAGTTACTGCTTTGTATTAATCTTGACATCTTTTCTATGAATTATTTCATTTTTCTATGAACATGTGAAAGCACTTCTCTTATAAGCTTATTTTCAAAAACATTTCAATAACTGTCATTTTACCAGATTTCTCTTCCTCACAGTTGTTACCTGCTCTTGGAAAGCACAAACATCCCATTTAATTTATAAAATCCACTGAAGTAAAACTTGTAACAGAAGGGCTGACAAGCTTCCGATTCACAAAGCTACTCCTAAAGAATGATTCTTTGTTGTAGGTTTTGTTCATGAGTAGACACTCCAAATATTAACTGCTTTCACTATGGGCAAAACATTTAAAATTTGGTTTAATGTTTTTGTATACAATTATATAACTCAGTTACAAGGCATTCCCTTGAAAAAAATAAATCCCTCGGGGTATATAAGCACACAGTATTAACTCTGCTCCTTAAACACAAGCCTTGTTTCCAGTTAAGGAAGAACAAATTAGGTTAAGAAAATTAGGCCAGAAGCACATTAGGTTAGTTTTTCTCCCAAACATGGTATTCAGCAATAATATTGTAGTATCAATATTTATCATAAGTTTAAAACACATTTGAGAGAACAAGGTTTCTGTACTAAAAATATTTCATAGATGGTTGTAAGGTAACAGCTCTGACTCCAGATGGCTTTGAATGGTTTTTGTTGCAATGCAGCTTTCATTAAAATTTAACAAGGAACTAATTTTTGAAATACTTGTTTCCAGTAGGTAACCAAAATATTTTATTCAAGATGTTGCTTCCTTCTAATTAATGCACAAGCGCACTGTCTGCAAAAACACCTGATCCTTTCTGGATAGCCAGAATCAGTCACCATTGCACATCGACCAGTGAAACTGAACAGACTGATCCATTTCACAAACATAACGATGTATGTAGGAAGAGGTGTTCGTACAGCCCCGCTCACAGGAATATAACTACAAATACAGAGTTGACAGTGGTCATGTACAGTAATTCTGTCAGGAAAGCAAAATGTTGAGAAGTTAACAGAAACACGGTAACTTTATGAACAGGGGTTGCAATCTGTGCTGCCCACAGAGGACCACACACTGCCTGCCCCTCCTCCTTACTGCTGCCTCCCCAACAACTACCCTTTGTTTTGCACACAGAGAAACTGAATTTGCTTAGAATCATAGAATCAGCCAGGTTGGAAAGGACCTCTGAGATCATTAAGTCCAACCCTTGATCCACTACCACCATCGTTACTAAACCATGGCATTAAGTGCCACATCCAGTCTCTTCTTAAATACCTCCAGGGACAGAGAATCCACCACTGCCCTGGGCAGCCCATTCCAATGCCTGATTACCCTCTCTGTGAAGAATTTCTTCCTAATATCTAAGCTAAACCTCCCCTGGCAGAGCTCCAGACCATGCCCTCCTGTCTTACTGATAGCTGCCTGGGAGAAGAGACCAACCTCCACCTGGCTACAACCTCCTTTCAGGTAGTTGTAGAGAGTGATGAGGTCTACCCTGAGCCTTCTCTTCTCCAGGCTGAACCCCAGTTCCCTCAGCCTCTAACACTCATATGACTAACACTCATTTGTCACCGTAACCATGGATTAGCTTGTAATGTCTGTGACAGCACCCTGGTTACCTCTGTTTAAAATACCTATCCAAACTTTGAGTAAACCTGAGTATTTAATACCACAGAAAATTTCAGACCTCAAGAAGTGAACCCTTCTCTACAATGTGGGAGTGTCAGAGGTCTTGACATATTTTCCAAGAAACCATAAAAAAAAAAAAAAAAAAAGCAGCAAAGAGATATCATCTTCAGCAACTTTAGAAACAGCCCGAACACTGCATTTGGAATTATTCCACTTCCACTAAGTTTGTGACAGCTCAAAATTCTTGCACTGAACTATTTCCCTGAACAAGACAGGCACCCCACCCGAGTAGCCACACTTACTCAAATTTCTGCAAAACTCATATATCCTGACTGGGCTGTTGCATTGGAAAGCAACAGGCAAAGAAAGAAACTACAGGGTGAAGAAAACCCCTTGGACATGCAGTTTCCCTCCTACATAGACTCACATGTGGAAAATGCCCACTTGCACTTTATTTCAACAACCACTTCGGAAATTCAAAGGGAATTTCTCTCCCATAATAAAAGAAGTCAGAAAAACACCCCAAATGCAACCAGCATGTAATAAGAATTTTATTGAATACATTTAGAAAAAAAATAGAGCATGAAGACATGAGATTAATTTCTGCATATAATTTCTATTAATGTGCAGAATCAGCCATGCGAAGTCATCTCCCTTCAACCGTAACTCATGATTCTTATAATGGTAAAATTGTTACCGCCTTAAAAGTGTTTCAGACACATAACTCATTACTTTAAAAAGGATCTCATTCCTGAACAGAGATAAAAAAATTTAGTAGCAAACTGGGAAACACCAATGAGTAAGAGGTACAGTATTTAATCAGTACTCATGCCATGTTTAAAGGATGCAAGCCAAAAATGCATCATTATGTAGAATACATAGATTTTTTTTTTCCCCAAGGCAAAATTCCTAGTAAAACTAACTTCTAAGCTACTGAAATGGTGACTTGATAATGTATATGATCCAGAATACCATCCAATGGAAGTTTTTCTTGTCAAGTTATATCAGTGCCATGTATGACCTAAGAGTCAGAGTAGCTGAACAGCCCAGTGCTTAACAGTATATTAACAATAAACATAAATTCCAACTCCTGGAAGAAATATTGTTACAGATACAAGATCACAGAATCATAGAATTGTTAAGGTTGGAGAAATCTCTAAGATCATCAATTGTCAAGGCAGCACCACCACCATGTTCACCACTAAAGTCATGTCCTTAAATGCCACATTCACATGTTTTTCAAACAGCTCCAGGGATGGTGACTACACTGCTTTCCTGGGCAGCCTGTTCCAATGCTTGACAACCCTTTCCATGGAAAGCATTTTTCCTAATATCTAATCTAAACCTCCCCTGATGCAACTTGAGTCCGTTTTCTCTCATCCCATCAGTTGTTACCTGGGATGTAATGTTAGGTAGGAAATGCGTAATGTTAGGTAGGAAAACGGGCTTATACATGAGTGAAATTATTAAGATTGCTGTCACAGACTTGTACATCCATACAATTTTTCATATTAAGAAAAGATTGTGAAGGTAAAGTTTTATAAGCACCTGGACAGTCAGTTCTGACACATGTAACATGCTGTGTACATGTGTAACATGTAAACCCATACTGAAGCATATTACAGCTTTTAAAGACTTGTTATTATAAAAATATACCTAGACTGCATCAAGTTAATCAACTTGAAAAATACAGCACAACTGAAAACATAAAAAAAGGATAAATGTAACACCAAGTATTCCTGTTCATACTTGTTCGCCATTTAGTTTCACTATTATTAGGTGAAAGTCTGCAATCAAAACTCACTTTGCTTACTTTGAAAATCTTGCTTTTGAGGAAGCATCAAGATTGGTTTAGTATGGTACAGTTGGCCTCACCTTCTCCCTGCATTTTTTAATAAAATTTACAGCCAACACAATATTCCATGTAAGTGTCAGCTACCACTATTCATGTCAAGATGTCACTGCATGACATACCAAGATCAGCCATTGGTGTGTTCAAGCCTGTTGTGAGCAACTGCTCAAAACACCCAAATTCAGTGATACAGCTCTTGCAGCTTGATGATGGATGTAGACATATGGTTCCAAAAAACTGCTAAGAATTACTGCAGTTAAACAGACTTATGGCAGTCTAGACCATCTGAAAGTTTATCTTCTTATTCTGAAAAGCTCAGTAATTACTGTAAAACCTATACCTTCTTGCCTGATCAAAGCTGCTGGAGTTTTTACGGGTTGTTTGTTTTCTTACTTTTTTAAACAGGTGAATTTTAAAAGTGGTTTTATTGCCACTGATGGAAAAAGTCATTATAGAACTTTTGAAGTATCTTGAGTTTTGTGCTGAACGTATGAACAACAGCAGAAGACTGGAAGAAATGAATAAAAAGCAAAAGCAAAATGGAGGAACTGTGTTTACAGGAGGAACTGTGTTTACAGGAGCTTTTTCCTACTTATGGCCAAGGTGACTCATCTACCAGCAGAGTGTAGTTTGAAAGAGTGTAACATTTACTGGGTCCAAAAGCATGCAGTATTAACAGCTGATGGTCCATTCATTCACACTTATATCTCTGTTTATGATTTAGTATACCAAGGCAGATTATGACTTATTTAAAAACAGGAATTCTGTTTTCCCAAGGAATTCCATTTCCCTTGTAGTTTTTTAAAAACTACATGTAAGCCTACTGCATGTGAGGATGAAAATAAAGTGAAAATATGTCTTTCACATTTTTTCAACATATTTAGGGTATTTATATACCCATATGGATAGACATGTTTGAACTTGCTTCTTAAATAAGAACTTTACCCTGGCATTTAAGCACTACTTATTTTGTTTTCCAAGTTCAGAGTTCTGCACACACAAACACATATGGCATACTAGTAGCTGCAGCTAAACTAGAATTTTTTCATCCACTCAAGTGATTGTTCTCAGTATTATACTAATAAGTGCTCCACTTGTTGGTTCAGAACACCTCCAGGAATATCTGTTTAACCTTTTGAGGATCACTTGGTAGGCACACATTTTTGTAAGCTTGTACGCTATCACTTCACGGTACCTGACTTTTTCAAATTTATATAAAGAAAAAAAAAAGAAAAGGGGAAAAAAAAGCATTATCAGAGGTTAACAGAATCTATTCAGCAGAACCTAGAGCTGGAATTTTTAATAGGGGTCCAAGGGAGTATGCAACTATGCTCCCTCCAAGCAAATAAGGAAATGACGGTAAAGAAGCACCAAAACAAATTTCATATACACATCACTGGTATTACTTTCTTGGTGTTTGGGGATGGTTTCTTTGGTAATGTATTTCCTACTACTTTAATCATGAAGTAGGATTTCAAGTACTGTTAGAGACAGAAATCTGAGCTCAAGTCAAATTATACCCGTTGGAAAACAACAAGATTCTTAGAAATCCATATTTTACTTCAGAAAACCTTTACTATGTCCTGTGTTTCTCTTGGGATTATGTCAATTCTGCAAATGCTGGTAGGTGAGCATCCACACGTTTTAACAGTCCACAGGACTACTTGTTTACATATATAGGATTTGGCACAATAAATAATGATCTGCATTTGGTATGACATATAGCAAAACGTTATTTTTATTTCAGCTGCAAGCAAAATTAAGAAAATATTCCAAGCAAAAAGAGAAAGCAACATTACTTCATGAGTTGCTGTTTGGATAAAAATCTTATCTTTGCAACTATCCTGTTTTCAGCCACATATCTTTAGTGATGAAGAACTGAAAACAAAAATAAGGTCTTAAATTCTAATTACAGCTTGTTCAAGGAAATAATATTTTTAAAAAATATTTTAATTCAAAGGTACAATTAAAATTTGAGACAGACATTTTAAAGCTTGTTATTTCTCCTAAGATATATCCTGCAGATAAATGAAATTCTTAAGATTACCATACTTCAGAGTCAAAATCTATCTATATGGAAATAATTTTCCCAAGACACCTACAGTGTGTCCTGGCTTTTCATACTACACATAATACACATACCCACTTTGAAGGAAGTCTTGGGATTTTTAACGTTGTAGAATAGGACAGAATACACATTCTGAAGACCATGAAATATATACAGCACTTTGGTAATTTTACAATAGTCTGCTGTTTGTGTACTCTTCACAGCTGAAATGCTAATTTATCCAGCCATTTCACTGTCCATTCACTTTTATATTTAACCCTTAAAATAAAATAAAAAAAAAAATCTCTTCTCACCAACTTTTTTTTTTTTTATTTTAACCTGATCTCCTGCTTTTATACATGAAAGACAGCAAGAGTCAGTAAGTACTGAAATCCTTAGAAAACACCATTTATTCCATCCCTCCATAGCCAAGAGGTACTGAAACAAATGTTCATTTCAGAAGACAGAAGTGCAAGTCTGTAAGTGTTATTTCATCTTATGTTTATGTAACCATTTATTCTAGATGTAGAACTGCATGCTAACCAATTCAAACTCAGATTTTTGTATCTGCATTACTGTATGCTTCAGAATGAACAGTGTTAAATTTAACATGGGCTACCGAGTACTTTAAGTCTAAACCGATGAGCTGAAAAACTAACACACACACTCTGAACTAAGAACATCTACTGGGATAGTGCATTGGTAGGTAAGGTTGCAAGCAAAGGGCAATAGCTCTTTTTAACTCTAAATTCCCACGGAGACACTTCATCTAGCATAAATATACTCTTGGGAGCAAGAGCAGAAATAGCTATTACGTTTCAAGTTTACACCCCCATTTACTGTGCATCAAATTTCTTTGTAGAAGGGAACATATGATCTAGCATTTAAAAAAAAAATCTATATAAAAGTTAAATATTTGATTACAGTAGCAAGTCACCACTTCATAATGGGAAATAACTTGTCTCTTGGAATCGTTATTGATCCGAACTCTCTTGTTTTGGTTGTGTGTCGGATACTGGTAATTCAAGACTTGCCCATAACAGGGGCTCTGCTTTTCTCATAGTGAGTTCAATCTTTGTAGCTGTCATGTTCACATAACTTCTCTTTACATCAATTACCTAGAACAGAAAACATATTTCACTCTTCAATTTAAGAAACAGACTGCTAGATATCTGGGAATTAAGTTAGGGAATACCTCATCATCAAATTTCTGTAGACACTTAGGTAGATAGAGATCCCTCCGGTATATTGAAAAGTCAACTCTTCCCCATTCCCAAACTATGGAATGTTTATGGCATAATCATATGCTCCTGAATAGCTAACACCTATGTAAGCACACAACTATACAGTGTCAAGGGTTTTCTGAAACACTACCACCATGGTTTTGCAATCAGAAAGGACCTCAGAAGGTCACCTTCTGTGCAAAGCAGTGTCAATTTTGATGCCACACCTGGGGCATTATGTTCAAATTTAAATGCAATTACTGAATGATATGAAACTGAATTTCTTTCAATGAACAGATAAATAAGGAAAGCCAAATTATTTTGAAAGAGAAGAAGCTAAAGGCTTGTCTTTTGTTTTTTCTCTTTTGTTTCCTTGTGTGTGTGCCTTTCTTTTTTTTAAAAAAATAGATAAATTATTCTTATACTTACTCCCCATAACTTCACACTGCGATGAAATTCCTTTTCTCCTTCAAACACAATATGCATATTTACCTTAACAGGAAAGACAACAGAAAATTAGAAAATTTTATTAGGTTAATAAAACATTTGACACCTCAAGCATGTTGAAGCAAAATATACCATCTTAGGACTTGGATCCCACAATGATCAAAGTGATCAAACTGTTCCTCAGAAACTGAAGTACTTATTTTAGCAGATTCTGATTAACATAGTCAATAATGGTCACTGGTAGCTTTATCATTGTCTCTCAATGCATGATTAACAAATCAGAGAAGCATTTTAACACTTGTTTAATATTAGTAGCTGTGAAACAGGATACAATGAAGAATGATATTAAATTACATTGGGTCAAATACAATTAAACCACTAATCTATAATTATTTACATATACAGTGATGCAAATCCATCACGTTCAGGTTTTAATTGCAGAAGTAAAATTGAAGGGTTTTTTCTCTTTTGGCATACTGTACTGCAGTTTTTAACAACCTCACACATTAAAATGCAAATGTCCAAACAGAAGAGGGCCAAAAAAAAAAGCAAGCTATACATACTTGAACAAACAAAAATGCCAAAAAAAAGCACCATTACTCAAAAAAGATCCTTGTGCTACCTCTGCCTTGCACATAAAGTCTGAGTAGATTTTCCTATCTTAAAGTTGCAGATCTTAAGGTAGATCCTCACCATTGTGCTATTTGCTTCTACATAGCTCAGATCAGGAACAGAATTTTTAGCATACACAGAAATAGTCACTTCTCCTCCGGTCTGGTGCCAATCGTGCCTGCATGGAACCACCTTCTTACCCTATATAAGGAAAGAGGTACAGAAAAAAAGACTTACCATTATATTCAGGAATATTTTTTAAAAGATTAATCAGGATAAAAGCCCAGTACTTTTTTAGTAGACAATAAATACATCTTTTTAACCCTTGAATGGAAATATTTTCCATCTTGTAATTCTTCAGCTTGTTCCCAACATTGCAATGAAATACTTACAAACTAAACAGATGCTCTCTCTGTATTTGTTACACTAGTAGCCAAACCAAGACACTCAATTAGATGAAGACCAGAAGAATCTTCAGATGTGTAAACAGAATCCAAATTAGATAGAAGGAGATGCTTCCATCCATGCCCCTCACCAATGGAACCTCACTGACCTTATCTGCCCTGCCATCCCTACCTAAACAACTTGACCCCTGAATGGGACTGGAAGTACAGTTATTTTACTCACAACACGTACAGCTGCTCTCTTCATGCTCTCTGGGAGAGGAAAGACGTCTTAACAATCTTAAAAATAATACATATGGAATGTATTCTATATTGAATACTACAGACTTACTTAACTAACAAAATGGAAAAGACTGCTATTTTTTTTCTGAGGTTGCAAAAAACATTTACCATGAAATAGTAGTACTACATGTCACTAAAAAGAAAGACTGTAGCTATTACAAGTATACCTGTCCCACATATTACTTTCCACTCCATTTCTCAGTTATCCTGCTGTCCATAATATCCTCCGCAGTATTTCAGAGATAGTAATTTGTAATAGCTCAACTACAGTAATAACTCAATTAAGCTACACACTACATTTTAGTATTCAAAATTCAGAACAGTTAGCTACAGAGAGTAATCTCAGTGCTACTTACCGCATCCTTTTTAGTCCATACGTGTGCTCCTCTTGCACAGCCTTCTTGAGCTAAAAACGTATTGAAGTCAGAAGTTTTTCTTTTACAACAGCTCCAATACTTCATCCTTGAGAGTTTGCAAAGTAATTAACAAACAATATTTAGGACATTTTTTACCGTGAATATTTAAGACCTTTCCTTTATGCAATATTACTGTTAATTTAGTATACCCTCTTCAGGTACTGCCATTTTTGACTGAACAGGGAATACAAAATAAATCAAGGCACCACCCACAAAGAAAGCATGAAGACATAACATACTAGTTAAAAAAACCTGAAGTTAACTGAATACTAACCCTTCATGGAATATAGGTACACCGGAATGGTATATACATACTTCTTCTGTGCTCTGTGGTCCTTCGTACGTCTAGTAAAACAAGTAAGTTAAAGTGCATTACTCTTACAGGATTTGGACCAAGGGGAAAAAAAAAAAAAAAACCCACACAAAAACAACAACATACAAAAGAAACACTACAAAACTTTTGGGTAAATAATCTAGATCAAACGGTTTGTCCTAGCTTTTCAAAGCAGCCATCTGACTTTCATTCACAGAAGGTTCCCTGGCACTGGTAGGAAGCTGTACTTCGTATTAGTGCGATGGCACTGACATCAATGGTGACATCATCTATGCTCATAAAGATCACTTTAGATCTTCAGAGATACCTATCTTAAAAATACTCCGAATATTCAGAGCAAACAAGAACTTAACTTGTAAATAAATTAATCATTCATAAAACACATGGATTCTCAAAATGAAGTAAAATAAACAACATTTAACTTAGCCACTGAGTATCAGATCACTTCCTAACCCAAAGGCTGCTATAAGTTCTCCTCCCACCAGATCTTCAGCAGATAATGCAAAATCTGTCAGGTGCTCAATGAAATACCTATTTAAATCCTACTGTCCCGTTCTGCACAATACAAAGGTGTCAAGTGTAAAAAATCTTTCACTTTAAATGTCTATGTAATATAACAACTAATACTGGTGCTAAAGCATTAAAACACTGACTTTTTGATTCTTCTGGCAAGAAGCATTAACTGATAAGATCTGTAGATGTTTCTGACCCTCAAGCATTATCAGTGAGCTACCTCTCACTAACATCATATTTAACATCTTAAGCTGAAAGACATCAGTACCATGGATTTGGCAAGCTTACTAATTAGAAGTTTGGGACAGGATTAAAAAAGTAATCTTTGACTTACTGCAAACAACACACATTTGTCCATACTGAAGTTTGTTATCAAATGTGCAGTTTTTAAACTCAGTGGACCTTGTGTCTTTTCCAAATCAACTTGTAGAACACACACACAAAAAAAAAAAAAAACAACCTGCTCATTTAATAATTTAGCAGCTTGGTTTAAGAGCAGAACTGAATTACTTACTTTTGAACAGCCTGCATTTTTACATGCCGTCCCAATCTTGATTTCATCACTATCTTCCTCTGTAAACAGAATATTACAGAAAATAGCAACTGAATTGTATAATCTACTAAACACTTTGTTTTTATTGAGAATTAAAATGAGCCTAGGAGCAAATTAGAAAAAAATTCCCTGTCAAGCTATTTTCTGCCTGGCACTGAAGTCTGCCAGAGAGGTACAAAGAAACAGAAGTTAAGCAAACACTCCAAAAGTACTATTACCTACGTATATAATTCTAGGTTCTATACCTTTATACATTTTAAGTGGGGGAAAAAAAACTGATGAAGAGGATGATTACAATTACAAGGGAAGAAAACAATCATCCATCTTGTTTGGTTTTGTAAAATGAAGAACATAAAAGTCTTCAACTACTGTCTATAAATATACACAAGGCAATAACTAGGATACCATGGAGAAAGAAGAGCTATACTAGCTTGGTACAAGAGCAAAAGAGCATAAAATAACCATTAACGTAGGATGAAATTAGAAAGTTTTTCTTAAGGAACCAATTTCCAATTTGGTTCTGGAACCAAATTCCAAACAAACTGCGGGAACAAAAAGGAGGAAAAAGAGACAAGGGAGAACCAGCTAGTCTTCAGATGAATTTCACCAGTTTATGAAAGGCTTTATATGACATTGTGTTTGCAACAGTAAGAGTAAACTTCATCTTTTGGAAACTCTGGCAGTCATATATTCTGAAATGGGTATTCCCAGTATGTCTACTCTAATGAGGAAATCTCAGAAAACACACAGTTCAAATAACATTAAGGACAACATATTGCTCCTGACATCTAACTCCCACATTATTCACATTTAAATTTTGATCATCATTTCCTGGACTGGAAGCTATTTCCCACATTATTAAGAACACGAACATAACTACATGAAACTATCACTTCAATAACAACATAAAACAGCATTTGCTTTATTTGCGTGGCAATCAGGATCATATACCTCATTGATATAACCTCCCTATATCCTTACCTTTTTTCCCTTCGTTTTCTGATGACAATTTCAGTTTATCAAGAGCTTGCTTCAAGGAAGCTGACACTTTCAGCTGCAAATTTGTCATTGGTTCATCTGGGCTAAAAAAGAGTCCAGGTATTTCTGTCAGCTTCATGAAAAAGAATTTATAAAAGACAAAGTAGTAACTTTTAATCTTGCTACAAGGTTCTTCCTTTCAAACCTCCCTTACAACAACAAACAAATATAATTTGTAAATACCAATCCTTACTGTTTATGGAAAAACAGACTAGAAATTTAGAAGACAGTCCTGATTTTCATCACAAAATCCTAAATACTCTACAATATTAAAAATTAATCAGAGATATTAAGGAGTCTAAATACAAGCACCCTAAAATTATTTTTATAACTGTTTAAAACACTAAACACAACTACAAGTGACATTCTAAGCTACGAGGCTTCTATTTTTGATTCCTGTGGAGATAAGCACTGAGAGATCCAGTACTTCCTTGTCATAACCAAAATTCTTTTATCTCATTTTGAAGCCTGAGATAACATCATCACTGATACCACATAAGCTCTTTTAAGGTTAATTTGGGGATTTTTACACTATATGAAACGAGCAACATGGAATAACCAAGCAAGTTTTATCTTACCCAACTAACCACAAATTTGGAAAAACTTCATTAAAGTTTCATATACTGTACCTCGGCCTTTTAATTGTTTCCAATGGTTTTGGTGCCTGAATTATGTGTTCTTGAAATCTGGGTTTCAGTTCAGATAGCTCCTTTCGTTCAGAGGTAGTTTTGACTTCCGGTTTAACAGGTTCAGGAGGTTTCTCGCTGTTATGGAGACCCTTTGTACAGCCCTATTGCGGAAAATATATGTTTATATAGATGCAGTGTAGTTTGCGTGCACAATTAAAAATTAATGAAAACTACTGCAAGTTTTCTTGACTTATTTCTTCAGCTCCATCTCCTCTAGCCCACTCTAAACATTAGCTGTGGGATTTCCTATGCAGCCAAAGTGGAAAATATCCTCTTTTGGACATAAGTTAAAAGAAAAACGCATACTTTCTGTAATCAAGCAAAGCAGCAAACAATACTGACCCTCCATTATCGGCAAGTAGTTCTATCAAAACCTATTTAGATAATTATACCCATTAAAGTTTGAAAATGAGATGACTTCAGCATTACATGAAAAAAAAGATGCATGTAAGAGTTAAGACAGTTTTAACAAAAGAAGGTAAATTGAAAACATGTAAGCACATGTACCATTTAATATTAATCACTGTCATTTGACATATAAAAATTGTAAATTATATTGAATACATACCACAATGCTTAAGAAGTCAGAAAAGTCTGTTGTTCTTCTCTTACAGCATGACCAACCCTATAAACATTTTGGAATAAAAACAAAACAAGTATGACTACCATACTTGACAACAGCTTATAAAAAGAAAAATATTAATTATATTACTTTACAAGATATGGTACTTCATGACTAGAGATTATTTTCTTCCCTTCAATGGACAATATTATCTGCATTTTTAAAAGTCAGAGAAGTCTGTTACAGTTGGAACTTCTAGTTCACTTGTGCTGCCTTAATCAAGTTCAGTAAAATGAGGCAACATTTCCAGGACAAGTTAGTCGCCAATTCTGTACAACAGAAAACAGAAATGTTACTTATCTCATAAAGTAACATGTAAGCAAACAAATACTATACCTGAGTCAAGGCTCACTTGTGGGCTAAGTACGGGCCCTCTTCCTAAAATTACAGGGATTTTTTTCTTTCCTTGAGCCCTAGTCAAATCTTTCAATTGCTTATTTCCCCACCAACAAAGCTGGATATGTGCACTGCACTGCCATCCAACTACATCAATCAAGATCACGTTTTATTATGTAAACCAGAAATTCAATTTTAGAGAAAATTGTCTTGCCACTGTGAATAATGTATCTTAGAACTCAAAGAACCTTATTAAAAGCAGCAGTTTGACTAATGCACCACCACTTTGAAAGCTTAAGCAGTACAGTGTGATAGGTTTTAGGTAGATGGTTCTAAAACATCCTCAAAATATTAGCCATTTCCACAGTCAAGGAGACAAAAGGTTCACCTTGCTCTCCTAGATTGTCTAGAATTCATAGCAGGAAGAAAATTGCTCACATGAAATTATGATAAATTTTTAATTAGGACAAGAGATAGGATAAGGAGAAGAGGGAAGTGTTTTATAAGCAGTGTGTATGTAAGAGAAAGAGGGAGTAAACATAAGCTTTTGAGGCATCTGTACAATTTCTGTCTTTATAATTATGTAGAACATTTATGTACTCTGCTATGAGTACAACTATAATTTTATACAAAAGCAATTGCCATAGTCTAAGTAATTGGATCGTATTTAATCTCAAAGCATTTGTCCCAATTTGCCAGTGACACACAACGGCCAATTCCACAGTCATGTACTGCAATATAAGCAACAGCTCACAGAAAACACAATGCCCAGCATATATGCAGAAGCTTTCACAAGCCAAAAGACATCACATTGTGGATTGAGATGCACTGCCAGTAGAAGCAGTTCCTAAATACCAAGAAAAAAAACCCTTGATCCAAACTTAAGTTAAACAGCAGTTCAGTGTTCTAAGAAAGGTCACTTAGGCTTCCTCTCTCTTAATACAGTAAAAAGTGCCAGGTTCCATTTCTGGACACCAGATTTCTGACTATACACAATTAAGTTGTTAGAATGATTTCCAGTACTGTTTTGGACCTCAACTATTTCCCTGTAGGCACTTTGGATGCAATCAGTAGATCCTGAAGTAGGAAAACAATTTAGCACAAAACCCAAAATGGGCTGTCCAGTTGGCCTAAGCAGTGGTGACCAGTCACAGGTACATTCACCATTGAAGAGGTAGCCCAAGAATCCTGGACAGCTGCATCAGAGGCATGGGTAGCCAGCCTCAACCAACATTCCCATTTGGCTGATTAAATGAACACGACTGTTTTTTACAGCAGACAAATGCCAAACGCACATTAGTGCTTTAGACACATTAGACCACAAGCAGCTGATCTGAATTCCGAGCAGGTTAAGTAACTGAGAGTATGACATCTTTCAATGGCTCCACACAATAATTCAGAGGACATAATTAAACTGTTGAGAGACCAAAACTTAATCAGCAAGAAACATGTCATACAGACTTGCATGACATTTAGACCACATGAGCAGAGTTTTTAATTTCTTCTTCAGGTTAAAGTCTGCTTTCCCAATTTCATGGGGTTGCTCAAACAAAATAGGCTGAACACCAGTTTCTCAACACTGAAAGACCTGGAGTGAAAAAGGAAAAGCAGCACACTGTTTTACACATATAGAAATAAAGATAACACACTTAAAAGGACAGTTCCATACTTACTTTGAGAGCATCATGAAAGACTGGCACACCTGGATGGTATGTGCATGAATCTAGAAAAAAAAAGACTATTATTAATATTCAGGTATACTAAGAATCTCTATTCACCTGATCACAAACTCAGTAAAATTTCACACTTGTAATTTGTGTAAGCTATGAGCTGCCCCACTTCCCCAAGTGCACATAATTACTAAGGAAAATACAGACTCCAGAGAACAAATTTTCTGAGTGCATAAAGTAAACCTAAATAATCAGGACTTTGTTTCTTCTGTACTATACATCAAAAACTCAAAAGCAGGTTTCTAAGACAAACTTCTACTTCCCCATGGGACCACCCCTGGCCTTCATCAATAATCAGTCTTTATGGGTAATTCAGCAGAAGTAAAAAGGTGGCCTTATGGCCACCTGACAGACAATACCAGTTTACAGCATCAAATACATCTACTTGCACCTGATCAGACCTTTCTATCTAGAAGCAGTCTGTCAAAAAATTCTCTTTTAACACAAATCTTAAGCTCATGATTTTATCCATGATGATTAGCTTGTTCTTTTTTCAATGTTTGTAGTATCCTACGTCACCTAAGGACTTCAAGGCTAGCCCTCCACGAACACAATTTTGACACATCAATACTATTAATTATTAATGGGTTCTGTACAAACACTACAATGAAACACAACTTTCATTAATGAAAGTGTTGATCTTCATAGATGTTTATCAACATTACACAGCTGTTCCTTTTTACTAATGTATTCCTTTCAGGAGTAATATAATTGCTCTGATTATATAACTTCTCTTTGACATTTATTACATGCATAGTATTTTACTGACCTGACTGTAAAAGCAATGGGAAACACTAGCTATATTCTAGCCCTTAAACCAAAACTTTTCATATCTGTTAGAAACAACTAAAATTAAAAGTGAAATAAACAATTTTATGATAAGCCTCCGTAAAGCACCGGAGTGAAAAATATCACAATTGCACACAGTAGGAAGCAAAAGAGAACAGCAGTAACTTTATTAATTATCAGCCTGCAGATACTGAAAAACGAAAATAAAAAAACCAACCCAGACCTTATTATTTTCATATTTTTTATAAATATGTAGATTTTAAAGAAATCTTGTTTAGTATAATTTCTTTGATTTTATATTCAATGCCTAAGTCTAAGGCAGCAATACTGTCTGACAGATACCAGTTCCCACCTTAACGCAAAAAGCACGTATTTTGGACATCAGTCCTTCAGTCAGACTTACAAACATATCCATGAACTTTTATCAATTCCTTCAGCTTCAGGGTGAAAATCTAATGCTTGTAAACCTCATAAGAAAATTTAAAAATAATGCGGTTATTCTGTATAGTGTTATTCTTTTCCAAGAGTATGAAAGTATGTCATCAGAAACATCATGAGAGTGAAAATGAGCTCTGTTTATAGCAAAGATTATCTCTGAATCAGAAGACTTAAATGGCTATTTCCAATTCCTCACAAGCATGTGGGTTTCAATGACAAGAGCTGCTGTTCATCACTTGCAACCATTTCAGAAACCAAAACCATTTTATGATTGATTAACTCAGGGACGGTTCTTCTCCTGCTCGTGAGTCAGATGAAGACAAGCGTCCTTTTGTCCATTTGACCAATACCAATCCTTTTTCCTTGCTCCTTGGAGCCTGCTCTGCAGGAGGTACATCATGGATCAAATGACAGCCCCCTTGGCTACTATCTCACAGAGAGCCAGGCATGCTCCACAACAGAAGGTGCCGAGACAAGGAGCTCTGCAATGCCTCACACACAGGCACTGGGATTTTTCCACTACCTATTCTGATGATTATCCATCCTAGAGGGAGGAACAACAGTAACATAGTAATTGAATAACAGTAAAACATCAACTCATTTTCACTCATACCGCGTCCAGCAACTCTTATCTGAGTGAAGTTTACATTCATAGAAGGATCCCATTTCAGACTAGGTGGGAAAAACTGGAAAATCAGGATAAACATCGATGGTCATCTGCGCAGTTAAAAGCATGTTTCATTTTACATTTTTCACTGAAAAAAAATTTAAAAATAAGTAGCCTGTTGAATTCTTGGGGATGAAATGATGCCTACACACGACTTGCAAAGACTTTGTGCTTCTGGTCTGGCAATGGACCAATCTAAATTGCATTAAGAAAAATCAAAATTGCAGCCTATATAAAAAAAAACTGCACTGCAGTGAAGAAATCGAGTCAAGCACATGTGACATATACAATTTCAGTCTGGTTTTGCACACCATCTTTTCAACTGTCATAAAGCAGCAATGCTTTCAAACCTATGACAAAGTGTGCATGTATTACCTCATACCACTGTTTTAATGACAGTAGATGATCCACCCTTGAAACAGGGTAAAAATGTTCATGTGGTCATTCATAGTTTAAGAAAAAATATATTGAAAACCTACTATCTGTTTTGAAGTTATGTTCTAACTTCTATGCCAGATACTGTGCAAGTCTTTTACTACTACTTAATCCATATTGTTATGTATCTAAAACACATGTGAAATTTATACCTTGCCAGGTATACCACAGACAAATTCATAATTGTATGCTCAGTCACAACTGCATAGATATACCTTCAATCCTTTCCCTCAGGCTGTTTTTTTCTGCCTCTCTTTAAGAGGCATACAGTCCTTCATGTCAGCCCATTACCCTTGCTCACTTTTTGGTAACAATGAGAGTTTCTACAGAGAATACCTCAATGTATTATTTCAGCCATCAGATTCTGAAGAGAAGATTAATGGCCTCTTACATCAATCATCACTAAGGGAATGTCTATACTACAGGCTGAATGTAGACAAACCCCTCGAAAGATCCAGGCCTTCTCGACCTAAAGTTTCTAACAATTCATTTAAGAAAACTTCCTAATAATATATTTTTTTTCTAAACATGTTAATGTAAAACACATTTAAGGGATCTGTATTTCGGTTTAACACATGTACTAGCTTTGAACCCCACAAAACATTAAAAGTAAAGCCAAACACAGCTTTGAAATACAACCAAACATAAGAACTTGACAACATTACACAGTTAAATGTGGATTTAGATGTCTAAGTAGCAATCATCCCATTGACCTTGGTGCAGTTTACGGATGACAGAAGCTATAATCACTCTACTGCTAGAGAAAGCGTAATGCTTGGTTCTCTTAAGTGATCTGTGAATAACTATGTTTACCTTTAGAATTGCTTAGTCTAGGACACAATAATTGTTCCAGTCACTTATCACAACAAACTTCACCTCAAGAAATTTTTTTCCCCAGCCCAAGCACCACAGTTAGCACTTGATCACAAATACAAGAACACATCATAAAAAATTGTTCTTTTTACAACGAGTACATGTCATGAGATGTCAATGAGATTTTTTTATTATAAATACCTCTATCTGCTTTGACTTTTAGGGCAAAGGGGTGTAGGGATGGTGGTGGAACAGATCACTAAATGGAAGCATTTCACAACTGTGCCTGCTTTTGTTGTTACTGACATGAGCAAGTCCTGCTGCCCTTCTCTTTGGAAATACTCAGCTCAGAAAAATAAACACACTTTATTGAGGTTTCTTAATCAGGGAAAATGCACAGTCTAGAACACGTTAGCCTACTTCTAATCCTGTGGATCACTAAAAATTAAACTAATGCAAAGAGGGCATTCTACAAATTCAGCCACCAGAGTTACTTTACAAACCAGGTTAGGACGGGCCTACTAAAAATTCAGATCACTCTTCTGCAGCCTCTGTGGAATTACGAAACGTCCAAACGACTGAGCTTTAAAGATGTTTTACCAGGTACTGCATTCCCAGTGTACACAAGGGCAGCACCTCAGGCGCTCAAGGCACTTGGCAAAGCAGACACATGTGCCATTAAGATACAGACAAAGATACATTTAATTACCTGCTGCAAGTCCACACATTAAATATATACATATATATATATATATAAAGCTGCTGGTAGCTGCTATGCACCCAACACCCACAGAGGCTCTCAGCAGTAAAGCCTCTGTTGCTCAGGGCCTCCGGCTTTTCCCTTTAAACAACATTTAAGCGATGTACAGAGCCGGGCCAGCCCCGACCCCTGAAGCGGTAGCAAGCCCCGTATGACAACACGCGTGTGCCCAAGGCGGGCGGGGGCGAAGGGACGCGCACCCCGCCGGCCGCGGCTCTCCCTGCCCTGCCCTGCCCTGGGGCTCCATGACAGCCCCGCACCGCCACGGCGCTGCCTCCGCCGGGCAGGACACCGAGCGCGGCGGGCTCCGCTCGCAGCCCCCCGTAGCCCCACCCGAGAGGCCGCCCCTCGCCCCCCCGAGCTGAGCGGGTGTCGGCGACGGAAGCGCCCCGCAACCCCCGCTCTCACCCTCCGTGTTGCTCTCGGGGTCGAAGCGCTGCCCGCAGCCCCGGTTGTAGCAGAGCAGCGACATGGCAGCAGCGCTGCACTGCGGAGCCCGGCAGGCCGGCGAACGGACGGAAGGAAGGAAGGAAGGGAACAAACCGGGCGGCAGCGCGGGGGGCGGGGCGACTCCCTCGGCGGAAAGAGCCGGCCGGAGCCTTCCGGAATATTCACGAAGCTTCGGGGGAAGCGGAGGGGCGGAGAGGCGGAGGGAGGAAGGGCGAGCGGGCGATCAGAGAGTGAGCGCGGCTGAGCAGACGCTGCCTCCGGAGCACCTGAGGTCGCTGGTGTGCTGTGCTGGTGTGGGGTTGCGCGGCCTTGGGCTTTTTTTTTTTTTTTTCTTTTTTTTTTTTTTTTTTTTTTTTTGAGAATATAGGTTTTCAAAGTCACTTCAGAAAAAAATAAACTCCCCCGAAAAAGAACTAAACAAATAAACAAAAGCCAAACAAATAAACCGGGCTCCATGAAAAAGTAATTAGGAAACGACGAATGCTTACTTGCGAAATGCCTGTGAGATTGATTTTAAATAAATAAATAAATGCGTGTGTGTGTGTGTGTGTGTGTATTAGATGATTGTTTCATTCACACAGAAACACAGATACCAGCGTCAGAAACTACTATGGGAAGTATTATTTTATGTTCTCTTAGTTCCCCGAAGGTTAGCCTAGGTGCTCCCTGGTTGCTGCCGACCAATTAATGTATTTTCTATAGTGTGCCAGCTTACCTGGAGTATTAAAATAGGTTGTTTGTAAAACCAGTGAATGCTTTGGGTTGGAAGGGAGCTAAAGATCATCTAGTTCCAGCCGCCTGCTATGGAGAGGGACACCTGCCACTTGACAAGGTTGCTCAGAGCCGCATCCAGCCTGGACTTAAACACTTGCAGGGATGGAGCATCTACAGCTTCTCTGGACAACCTGTTCTGTTGCCTCACCACCCTTACAGTAAAAGTTTTTTTCCTAGTATGGGATCTAAACCTTTTGGTTTGAAGCACTTCCCCCTTGTCCTGTCGCTACATGCTCTTCTGCATATAGTAATTATAGCTAGCTACATTTGTACGTGCAAATACACATTGATTTCTCCTAATTAGACATCAACTACAAAACTTTTAAAAGTAGAATTGTGTAGCTCTTCATACAACATACAACAAATCTTGAAGGATGAGCTCAAAGAATGAGAAAATTGATTCCCAAAAAGTGCTTTTCTATATAGGGTTTAAGGATGCAAAAAGGGTAATCATGAGACTGCTTCCAGTGTAGCCATGAACTTCTGGAAACTTCTAAGTTTATGCGTGATGCCCTCCATGTGCTTCTTTATCTGTGTGTGACAGAAAGATATAAATTCATTTGAGCCATCCAATAACAGGTGTTCACTTCTGATCTGCAGCTCCCACTGAGGCCTGTTGTAAGACTGGGAGGATAAACTGCTTAGTTTCAAGCAGGGGGAAAAAGAAAAACAACAAACACCTTTTTTGCTAGTTACCAGAAGAAGCATTTTAATGTATAAATACAAGTGGTGATATGTGTTTGGAAAGAACGGGGAGACATAAGAATGCTTCCCTTTCTATGTAAAAAGCATTTAAGTTATTTCTATCTGTTAGATATCTTGTAATTAGAAGATTGATGAAATTATGCATAATTTAAGTAGGTGTATGTGCATCATTACCATAACATCAGGAATTGTTCTTAAAACATGATATTCCATTGGTTCCCCAAAAGTGAAAGTACCACATGAGAATAAATGTGTGATCTATATCCATTGAAATAAGTTTTGTTCTGTTTTTCTGTCTGTGGTTGCATTTCATCCCTACTGAGCAAGCATCCCTTTGTTTCAGAAGGAGCCAACATTTTTTGTCTTTGTACAATGCAAAAAAGGTTACACTTCTGCAGAGGCATCATTAATTTCTGTTCTGAGAATATTTGTAAAAATTCAAAAAGTGTTATTTTAGCAGCATAGTATTTACTGGATTAAACAGTAGCATTCCTATGACCTTAGTAATGGAGTTTGGTTCAAACACTCAGAGAAGACTTGTGGGAAGAAAAATAAAATCTGGGTAGTTCCCAAAAAGTATGATGTAGTGCTATTCCACACCTAATTACTATCTCATTGATATGAAGACATGCTTTTAGATCTTTCAGACACAAATCCATTAAGAATGTGTTTGCTTTATAGTTCAAAATTCTGCAGCATGTTGCATTAAAGAAAATTTAATACTAATCTGACAACTCTGTTAATTTAAAACACACTTTTAAGCAGATCTCTGAAAGTTATTGACTGTATCTGTTTTCTTTGTGTGTAATGTTAAATAGAATCCGTTTTTTGTTTCTCAGAACAGTATACAAGCAGATAGTTGTTTGTAATCAACTCTTTTGAAATCCCATGTATGCACAAAACACTAAAATTGACAGTACGTAATAATCATCTCACATAAGTCTGCATAGCTTCAAAAAGGCAGTTTCTGTGCTTGGAAGGCATAAGAGATTTTCATCCCAGTCTTGGAAGTACGAAAAGTAACTTCTTCAAATAAGATTAGGTAATCATCTTGTGGGCATTATAGACTTAAGTCTCATTTATTCCTGTCTACTGTGTTGCAGGAACCTCTCATTTGAGATTCAGAGTGATAAGGAAAAACTGTCAAGTGGTTGATCACTGAATTTTGGGTCCCTACAACTTAAAACATCAAAAGTACTTAGATAATTTTTTTATTTGTTTTGTCCTTTATTTTCAGTTGCAAATCTTCCAGAGTGTTAGAGAAGCTTTTATGGTGTCTTTAAAAACCAGATCTTGTATTAGGTGTTCTAAGACATGTTATCTGAGATATAGTGAAAGATTTGTGAGCATAAACCTTTTATTCTGTTTACATGTGCTCTATTTTTCTCACATCAGAGATTCTACACTTAAAAAATTGTGGAAGCAGTGTTCTACAGTGAACAGCCATAACACAGGAGTGTGTACTGCTGCTCTGGACTTTATGTATGCATGTGTTCTGACATGATGGATGTATTTTCTGGTTGATAGCAGACGGATTTATATCCTCTTTTTCCTTTTTTTTTCTTCTTTTTTTGCATGGAGTTAGATTCTGTGCAAAGATTTCCTCTGCCAAAAGCCACCCTGAATTTCAGTCAGTAAAAGTCGTCTCATCTCTCCCAGGGTTAATTGGACTTAAGCATATCGCCAACCATTTAAAATGGCAGGGTTTCCCGGTAAAACTGGAAACTGTGAAGAAACAGCATGTTTCAGTTCACTTCTCAAAACTCAGAATCTTTTGATTTGTTTGCCAATTTGTTTGGTGAGGAGCCTTTCTTCTGTCTGCAAATCAGGGCGCTGTTCATGCAGAACTGCTAAACATGGGGTTGCAAAAAAGCCCAAAACTAAACCAGTTCTTAATAAATCTGATGGAGAGTGGGGAGAAGATTTTCAAGACTCAAGCTCCAGGCTAGGGCAGTTGTGTGGGTGGCACCTGTTGCACCAGAATGTTTTGGCTTCTTGTCAGAGGCAAAGAGTATTTTGGACTCACTCAACTTCCTTGGGACAGACAGGGAGCCTTGAAATTTAGATTAATTCTGAGGACTCATTGAGAGTCCAGGCAGGTAGCTCTGTTTCACATCTGGAAATATCAAAATGTGAAGTAATTAAGCAAATCCTTTCTTTAGGAGGCTTAGCAGAGGTTTAAAATACAAATGTAAATCCCTGTAAAGCTATGAGTCAAAAGCCTGCAGAGTTTGCGAGGAACTGTCCTATTTTACTGAACACGCTCAGATTTGATGGGCAGAACATCTTAAAATGTCCCATCTCACAGAGAAGCAGAACAACTGACTTTTTGGTAGAGAACACTTTTCTCCTCATCTGTGAACTGATGTTGCTAACATTTTTTAAATACTGAGTTTTCCCAGGAGGTTAGAGAGATTAAACAGCACCCGCTTCTAATAATCCACCTGAGTGCTTGCTGCTAAAGCACAGCCTGAATTTGAGTAGATGCTTCATTAAGGCTCACCACCTCCTTTGATATCAGGCTTTAGCATAGGCTTGCTGTATGATTGTTGAAATTCATTTAAGGCAGAGTTTTTAAATGTAATTTTCTAAGTAACCTAGGTGCCTGCAATATCTAGAAAATATTACAATTTTTTAAGCAGTTTTCAAAAGTCTGCTTTCAGATACTGCTAACGAGACTGGAAATTTTGTTACTGAGTTCAATAAGATACAGGTTAATTCCAAATAATACATTGATGCTTCCCCATTCAAATTTTTCCTTGCCTTTGACCTACCTGCAGAGAGTAAAACCTCTTTGATGCAATCTGTAAGCCATTCTGTAGAGTGCCGCTTTGTCATAACTTGCAGTGATGCATGTATTATAATGACCTTTTTCATCCTGCCTGCAGCTGAGACAGGATTGAAATACAACACAATCTGTGAATAATTAAGCGTAAATGCTATTATGAAATCTAAGACATTTAAAAAAAAAAATTAAACAGCTCCCTGGATGACAAAACCCCCTCAGATAATTCATGTGTCTATATACAGTACAGTAATGCTGTGACCCAGAGCAATTTGCAAACAAAGTCGAGGGATTACAGGAATAATAGTTGGAGAAGAACAAAAACTTAATATGCCATCCAGAGGGACCTTGACAGCCTTGAGAGGTGGACCTGTGTAAACGTCATGAAATTCAGCAAGGCTCAGTGCAAGGTCCTGCATATGGATCAGGGCAATCCCAAGCACAAGTACAGGCTGGATGAAGAATTGATTGAGAACAGTCCTGAGCAGAAGAACTTGGGAGTGTTGGTGAATGAGAAGCTCAACATGACCTGTCAGTGTGTGCTCACAGCCCAGAAAGCCAGCCATGTCCCGGGCTGCATCCAAAGCAACATGGCCAGCAGGTCAAAGAAGGTGATTCTGCCACTCTACTCTGCTCTCATGAGACCCTGCCTGGAACACTGTCCAGTGTCCCCCTGGCTTGGGGCCCCCAACACAGAAAAGATGTGGACCTTTTAGAGCAAGTCCAGAGGAGGCCATGGTGACAATCGGAGGGCTAGAACACCTCTCCTATGAAGACAGGCTGAGGGAACTGAGGT